TCCTGCCTTTTTTTTTTTTTTTTTTTTTCTTGTCTTGGATTCTTCACTTGAGTATTGAGTGTTGTGTGTGGATGTAGGACAGGAAGATCTGTCTATGGCTTTGGCATTAGCAAGCTTATGGTCCCTATTTCTTGCAATTGGCTCTTTGGCGTGTGTTTGGCCCATGTTTTATACCGTTACAACAGCTTATCAAAAAGCATTTGACTCAGGATTATCATATGGTAGCCAAGCATCAGGACTGGGACTAGGGCTTCTTTTTGCGGTAAATAGCAGTATCTTCATGGCGCTGGGTTTGGTCATTGGCTACCCAGTTGCTTCAGCTTCAGGTAAAAATCATTTTCAAATTTAAACTTCAAACATTAGTTTAAATTAAATGGCTGGGTTTAGTTCAATTGATCAAATTCGTGATGGAAGAGGTTTTGGTAAGGATAACACGTACAAACGGTTCCTTACATACTTTACTGCTGATTTTCAATTAGAATTAAAGTTTCACCTCAGAAATTTTTGTTGATTTTTAATCTAAAAATTTATTATGTGAATTATGGAGGTAAAATTTAGAGAACACTAATAGCACCTAACGGTTAACAAATTGCATGAAAGTTTTGTCCTTTTGGTAATTCAAGAAAAAAGATATTCATTTTGTGTTTGGATCGGTGAGTTTGAACTCACCATAATTTTTGGAATCAACAAATAGTTGTTTTTACTGTGACCTCACCATGATTTTATCTATTTGCCGAAAATACACCAATCCGAACACACTCAGGCTGTGTTTGAATACTCATCCACACACATTCTCATACACTCAAATGGAAAAGTATGAGTGTAAGTGGATTAAGTTGAACGTACGTTTAGTTTTTTCAAATGGTAAAATAAACATGCACTCAATCATTCACTTCAACGGGTTTGCTTCTAGAAATATGTATATGTGTTATTAACTGCACATTTTCACAGTTAAGGTGCTTCAAGGCCTGTGGAGGAATGATTTAGCGGCACTAAAGGGTTCATGTCCAAATTGTGGAGAAGAGGTGAGTCGTTGAGTGGTCTCTGGTTTGTTTTCCAACTCATTGCTTCACTGAGTGGTCTTATTTGTCCGGCTAGAGAAGCACATATTTAATGTTTAACTTCACCTAAATCGTCCTCACGGAATTGAATTCATTTTCTTTAAGGTATTTGCATTTGTGAGAACGGACAAGGCTAATAACTCACCCCATAGAGCAGATTGTCATGTGTGTGAATGCTTATTGGAATTTCGCACCAAAGTGGAGGTAATAATATATATATTTTTTACTTCTTGCATAAGGCAGTTCATAAAATTAGACTGCTATTTAATTCTCATTTTATGAGTAGAGAGAATAAAAACATGACACAATGTGAAGCAAGAGTAGCAGGTATTTTGCTCTTTGCATGACAGATGATGTTATCATTTTGCAGCAACCGGCTTTAAGATTAGGTAGACAATGGGTTTATGGGCGTATTTACCTTGTTCGTAGATCCAGACGCCAGAGAGGACTGTAAATTTTCTTCTCATCAGGGGCTTATTATGATTGTGAATATTCTTAGTAAGGAATGAATAAAGCCAATTTCTATTCAGTTCTTCATAGTCTAAAACATTTTTGTTAGAAATCAGAAGCCATCTTGTAGCACTGTTAGAAAGGAAGTAGTTCTTCCTTTATTTGATGGCGTGTTAGTGTTAACGATTTCATATTTTGAAGCTGTAATAGATATTAAATATAATTTTAGTAATGAATGATTAAATACAAACCAGTATGTTTCCAATTGCCAATACTGAAATTAAATTTCTCTTTTATTCACATATTAACATGTTATGGTATCTGTGTCTAAAAAACATTTGTACGAGGTTTTTACCTCTGTCATTTTCTAAAAATATAAAAATATTTCATGTTACCAAACACTGTATATGAGATTACTTAATCACAACTTTATTAATAATAATAATAAATTGAGTTTTCCATCCTGTAAAAGGTTTTGCTTGTTGCACATGATAAGGCTTATTAATACCCACTTAATCACCATTCTTTTAAAAAAAATACAACCTTGCATATATAAAATTCAATATTTCAATTATCATTTTCATTGTCACCATAGGTATCGTATCTACTAGGGAAAATATCACCAATTTGATGGTTCTATAATACTAGCCCTCCTTATACATTTTATATACTCATAATTGTCATCTATTCTCTTTTTCTTCTTTTTGAAATTATTCTTAAATCATAGCATTTGTGTCAATACATTGCGGAATACGGGAAAAAAAAAAAAAGAGAGAGAGAGAGAACCAAAATATTTTATGAAATTTTCAATAAATTCAAGGAAATAATCATGCTTTTGTCAAAATTAGAGCAAAAAAATTGCTTAAACTTTTTGTAAAAAAAATCATAAAAAAATCTGCACAGAAAATTAAAAAGTTTAACTCATATTGTATAGAGAAATATGTTTGAGAAATGAAAAAAAAAATTATATTAGAAGAAGGAAATTTAATCCTACTGTACAAAAGGCTTGACAACATGAAAGCATGTATTTAATTGGTTTTTTATATAGCATAATATTTCTTACATCTATAACCAAAATTGTCTCAAGTAGTAATGCAGTGTAAGAGATATCAAAATAAGTGTCAATGCAGTGGCAGTGTTAGAGAACCAAAATATAAAATAAAAAAAGTAAATGACTACTGATGCACAAAAATTAAAGAGATAACAAAAGTGTTAGCAATATTGGCAGTCTACCTACAATCGGCAGTGATATGTATTTTTTTAATTAGGTTGTATAGGGGTTGAATTTTAATCTTAGATAAAAAAAAATTATATTAGATATTTATTTTATATGTTCTTATAATACTTGTTGAATATTAGTTTTTTTTTTTTTTACAAAAAATACTTTATATCAATATTATCATTATTTAGAGATATATCGATAGTGTTATATAACCAAGTTGGTAAAAGTGTTAACACAAGTCACTACTCAAAATTATATTTTCTTATCTTATAAACACCTTGAAACTAAGGATGACAAAAAAAATCATACATATATTTGTGAGTAAAATTCATTATACATTGTAAATGGATAATTAATATAGACAAAGATGAGTAATACTGTATATGTATATGTGAGTACTTTCACATTTAAAAGTATTTAAAATATTTTTAATTATATATAATTTAATTTAGTTTAATTTACTTTTTATCACAAATATGTATGTATAACTTTTAGTATAAAAATATGTTACAAAATTCTTTTTTCATATAAATATATATTTTAAAATTATTTTTTTAAGTTTTATTTTATTTTTTATATTTTCATTTTAAATTTTACATTTTAAAAAATATTTATGAATAAACATAAATACACACACATACATATATATATATATGTGTGTCTATATATATATATATATATAAAAAGAAATTCATTAGTCAATGCATTAAATGGGATGAGTGATGGGAATTATTGTCATCCATTATCATGTTTAGTATAAACTCTAAAACTTCAAAACTTTTTTTATTTTACATTAATAAAAATAAAAATTAATTGATTTAAGATTATTTATAAGAAATATAACATGCAAAACAAAAGAATGAAAAAAGTGTTGATCTGGTGTATAAGAATTAAAATGAGTAGTTTTTAAGTCATTGACTAAAAGGTAAATTTGTAGAAGTTCATGGAGTAAAATGTAAAAATAGTGAAAATATAAGATTAGAATTTAAAGTACCAGACATCTCATTACCATTTGATTCACCATTAGTTATGTTAATATTTTTTGAGGTAGAAACCAAAAGAGAATCAAAAGTGATTGTATGAGAACTAAAAAATAGTTTTTCAATATAAGAACTATAAAGTAAATCTGTGCAAATATATAAAATAAATTAATATTTCAACCATTTTTTTTTATCTAATCTCAATTTTCTCTAATTTAATGCATTATCCGTTTCACAATAACTCTAGTTTTAACATTTTGAAATGTTCCAAAATAAATAATATTTTCACATTATAATGTAATATTATTTGACTTTTTTAATTTATTTTTCATAAATTATTAAGTCACTGTTTATGCTTTTATTGATAAAATGAGTTAGTATTTTAATAAAATTGTATAAATTGATACATTTATTGAGGTGGTTAACATGTACGTAAAAATCTTGAAATATAGTGATTGTGGGATATGAGTTTTAATTAATTTGTAAAGTAATTTTGTGAAACAGTAAAATGAAAATGAAGTAGTATTATTATTATTTTTGTTGGCAGGATTCAAACTCCTGACTTTGCTTAAGCGTACTTCTACCGCTGAACTACACGCTTGAGGTTTAAAAAATGAAGAAGTATTATCGAGAAGAAAGTAGAAAGTAGAAAGTCAAAAACATATTTTTGCTTTCCTTTAATTGTGGCCCTGTTGCTGTCTCACTCAGTCCCTTGTATCCGCACGCGCCATAAAAGTAGCGTAAGTGAGTGCTTTTAGTTATACCTTCGTTCATTCATCCACACTTCTCTTCGCATTCTAATTCTAATTCTAATTTCTAAACTCCAACAACACAAATCCAAACACCTAAACATAATCCAAACCCAATTTCCTCTTCTCTCCCCTCACTCAATTCATTCATTCCTCAAATCACTCCTTTCTTTTCTGCTTCCAATTATTCACTTTTTATCTTCATTTCATTTCAAACAAACACTTTTTTTTTTTTTTTTTCTTTTTTCTTTTCTCAATTCGGTTTGCCTCAGCGCCGTGGAGCGTCGTCGATTTGTTCCCCTTCTGTCTGATCTTCTGAATTAGGGTTTTACTGAGAGATGGGTAGCCCCGAGAAGAATGAAAATAAGGGCTTTTTCGCCGCCATGACTTCCGGCTTCTCCATGTTCAGCAACGCCATGCACCGATCTGTCAACGGGTATTTCTATTCCTATTCTTGTTCATGTATATTAATCATATATGTCATCGTACATTGTGTCTCCACTTATGTGTATGTATATATTGACTACACCAGATGGTTATGTAATACTTGTTGGATTTTTATATTATTACTTTGATTTATAGCCTAGGTTCACTTGTGTGATTCAACTTGTATTTCTCGGTTACTTATCTAACTCAATTATTTATGTCTGTATGGTATGTTTCACCCGAGATTGTATTCATCCCAAGTGCATAGATGATCATAGCTATTGAGAAGAAGAGATGAGATCTTAATTTTTACAAAGTATTCGGTATAGAAAAGGCATGCTGTTATTATAGTGTTATTTTAAGAGAGAATCGTCGTACCGTGTACTTGTTTGTAGTTCCTAGTTCTCAACACCGTACTGCCAATGTTCCCTCATGGATCTGCATTCCAGAGTAATATTCAACTGCTTTACTTTTATACATCAAGGATGTGAGCTACTAGTAATTAGTAAAGTAAAGATAACTGTCTGTTTATCTAAGTGAAATCTCATTAACCACTGACATTCTAAAGAAATAAAGAAAGCGTTTGGAAATTTTATCTCAGTCTTTTAGGTCCTTGGTCATCCTTTTATCACACCTCCATTCATTTTAGTTTCATAGTTTACATCTTTCCAGTGCAACTTTTCAGTTTCATCACCAAGAAGTGTAGTGATTATGGGGAATGCAAGTTTACACATGTTCTCCTTTTATTTTAGGTTGCTGGGATATGAAGGGGTAGAAGTCATAAATCCAGAGGGTGGTAAAGAGGATGCAGAAGAGGAAGCTCAAAGAGGAAGATGGAAACCAGAGGTGCTTATTTTGTTAATGTTACTTTTTAGTTCCAACTTTTTCAGTATTGCCTTATTTTTACTTCATGTATAGACATTGAAAATACTTAATGTCTCCCTTAAATTTTCTCTTTGTGTTGCTTTTAGTTTTATTTATTGTTGATTGTAAAGATTCTACTCCTTTTTTTGGTTTCACTCTATTTTTCTCTTCTTTAGCACATACCTGATACTAACATTGTTGTGAAAACATTTATTCTTTCCTATCTTTGGCTTTTGTAAACAGGAAAGAGATGGTTACTGGAAGATGATGCACAAATATATCGGCTCGGATGTAACATCAATGGTAACACTACCAGTTATTATTTTTGAACCAATGACTATGCTTCAGAAAATGGCAGAGGTTTGCATAGCTTTACTTTTTTTCTTTTTTAAATTGCTTTATTTGTTTGTGTTGGCACTTGATTGAACTTTGAGTTGCTTGAACTAGTTGATGGAGTACTCCTACCTGTTAGATAAGGCAGATGAATGTGAGGACCCGTACATGCGGCTGGTGTATGCATGTGAGTTATTTGTACCTCTCTTATTTCTCTTCCATTTTTTTATTTCTTTTCATTAATTGAATTGTTATCTTAAAGGTAATGGAGTGTGAAGTTAACAAAAAGAATGAAGTGTTAAATCTAATTTTGACACATGGTCAAGGCTGTATATGATTCTTTTGTTATTCATAGAAAAGGATGTATATGATTGAATTTACCCAAAAATATTGCCAGCTAGGGGGTGTTGTGTTAGTTATTGTTCTTCTAATTACATTGAAGTATCTTTAAGCCTTTTGCATGTACTTTCTGATTGTTTCATGTCTTTTATAACTTATTTAATCATTGCAGCGTCATGGGCTATATCTGTGTACTTTGCATACCAACGAATCTGGAAGCCTTTTAACCCTATCCTTGGAGAGACTTATGAGATGGTTAACCATGGTGGAATTACATTCCTAGCAGAACAGGTACCATTTAAGTATGCGATTCTCATGAGAACTCCCTCTCTCTCTCTCTACCAGCATTTGGAGAACTG